CTCTCCTCTCCCCCTTCCCCTCCCCCTCCCCGCCCCCTCTGTATTTGTATACATGTGTATGATATGTGAGCATGGATGTCTGTGTGCATGGATGTGGGCACACATGCATGCCATAGCAAATGTGGAAGTCAGAGCAAAACCTTGGGTGTCTGTCCTCACTTTCATCTTGTTTGAGGCAGGGTCTCTTGCTTACCACTGTGTATGCCAGTCTAGCTGGCTGATAAGCTTCCAAGAATTCTCTCTTCACCTCCCATCTTGCTATAAGAGCACTGGATTTATGGATGTGTGTTACTGTACCTGGCTTTACCTGGGTTCTAGAAACTCAAACCTAGGTCCTCACACTTGAATGACAAGCACTTTACCCGCTGAGCCATCTTCCCAGCCCCAGGCTCATTTTCATTTTTCCTATTAACTGTGCTAAATAGACTGTTATGCTTACTCTGATTGTTTATCTCCAGTAGTGCAGCTACCTCTTCGGCGCAATAAAAGGAAACTAAAGAACATTTACAAGAAGAAAAATAAGAATGTTTAAAGTTCATAGTTCAGCATTCACTATTAACGCCTGCTTTTCTTTTTAAGACTACAGCTTAGGGAGTGTTGTAGGGTGAAAATGCAAAAGTTGCCTTTGTTCTCTTGTGTTGTTAGAGCACCCTGTGAAGAAAGTCAGCAGGGCCTTCCCATCTCCTGGGTGGTTGTAGCAGCTCTGTGGGGTATGAGGGGCACTGGTCACCAGGGACACCCCATCTCTTTGGCCATTCCCCTCCCCCTCAGTTTCCCATGGTGGTTGAGACAGAAGGAGCACACATCCCCAGATTTCATGTGTCACCCCTTGCAGACAGATAATCTGTTCCAGACTAAAGTACCATATTTCATTTTGTGGGCAAATTAGAGTTCCTGTTGGATTTTTAACAGCCTTAATGATCAGATTCTTAATGATACATGTGATGTGTCCCCAATGACAGTGCCGTGGTCCTTGTAAGGTTATTGTATTGTCCTTGTGATTGAGTGTGACTAGCTCTGTGTTTGTGTCTCTCTGATTTATTTTCTGTTTGCCCCTCTCTAGTGGGATCTTGTGTGTGATAATGCCTGGAAGGTCCATATCGCTAAGTTCTCCTTACTGGTTGGATTAATCTTTGGCTACCTAATAACTGGATGCATTGCTGACTGGTGAGTACCAACACGCCCATCACATGGACCTTTGGAAGGCATAGCACACTTTTGCTAGCTGAGGAAGAGTGGTCAGTGTTAGCACATGGTCAGTGTGCTTCTGCTCAGTGCATTGATGGGAGAGCCTGAAGCAGAAGCTGCCACCTAGAGAATACAGAGTCAAAAAGAATTGGCCAGTGCACACACACGACAGAGGAGAGGGAGGCCAGATTTAAATTCATTCAAGACCAGCCTGCAGCCCCATCGAATGCTGTTAGTTAATGCATCATTAGGAAGCACTTGGGCTTAGGTGTAGAGCTGGGTGCCATTAAAAAATGGGGGAGTTGGGTGAAGTGGCTACTTGGGGGCCTGTGGCAGAGGATTGCTTGAGACCAGGAGCTGAGACCAGCCTGACTAACATAGTGAAACTCAATCTCAAAAAAGTGAAAAAGGAGGGAGGCCTTGGAGACCCTTTACTCCGAGTAGAGACATCAGTCCTGATTAGCACCACAAAATAACAAGCACATTTTAGAGACAGACCTTCCAGGAGCTGCCTTTTGTGGTGCCCACAGGAAGGAGGACAGTGGAAGGTAATGACATTTGGGTAATGGATAGGCATTGTGCACAAGGGAAGGATAGCCATCCGAAATGAGAGAGAATGCATTTTGGTGAGGAGGAGTGGGTGTCCAGGGTAAAGTGTGCAGTTAAGGAGGAAATGATAAGGTAGGATAGAGAACAAGAGAAGATGGAAGCTGAGTTACTGATAATAATGGCAACAGAGTCATTAAAACCTGCCGCTTACTGAATACTATGCACCAGGCAAGTACCAGATACTCCCATGCACTAATGTAGCCCATCTTCAAAACACCCCTATGAAGCAGGTGCTGTTATGACCCCAAATTCACTCAGCCTTAAGCTGGAGAATCAGGATTTGACATGAGGCCAATATGGTCCAGAGCTGTTTCTTCCCCAGCATGCCACATGAGGCCAATATGGTCCAGAGCTGTTTCTTCCCCAGCATGCCACAATACCACAACAGTTTTTATTTAAGGCAATCCGTGGTCACAGAAGCACTATAGTGCTGTATCCAAGCTGGGAAACAATTGCACAATGTCAGGGACTGCTCAAGAACGGAAATGTGGGTGGCTGTCCCCCATTCTACCCTCCTTCCCTCCATCTCTCTTTCTTTCTTCCTTTCAAGACAGGGTCTCACTATGTAACCCTGGCTGGTCTGGAAATCTCTATGTAGACCAGGCTGACCTTGAACTCACAGAGATCTGCCTGCCTCTGCTTCTCAAAGGCTGGGATTAACAGTGTGTACCACCATGCCTGGCTTCTACTCCACTCTTTTTTTTAAAGAATCTTTGTATGTGTGTGTGTGTGTGTGTGTGTGTGTGAGAGAGAGAGAGAGGGAGAGAGGGAGAGAGAGAGCACTCAGTCTCTCTCCCAACTACTCAGTTGTTATTTTGGCAGTTTTGATAATATGCAAACGAACAGGCATAGTGGTATATCACAATGAGCTGGGTTTGATTTGAAAGACCCAATCAAGACATAAAATCTATAGAATGCATGAAGTCCTAGGTTCTGTTTCTGGCAACACACACACACACACACACACACACACACACACAAAGAGGGGGAGTTTATTCCCTTGACTCTGGGGA